GCAGTCCCCTACCACCCCCTGTGATGACATCAGTCCTCTTGAGAGGACCCTGCCAGCAGCCATCCAATAGGAAGTGTCTACATCACATAGGCAGTGTTGTGGACATCTAAAGAAGGACTCCAAGCAGCAAGTAAACAGAGGAGAAGATGTGGGGCTGTGGGATCATATGACTGTGGGTTAAGGTAAATAAAAACAGCCATTTAGATAGCGATTTCTTTTGGTCTCGTGGTCTCTGTCCAGAGCACTAAGTGTAATTACTGTCTGCTGCTTCATTCCTCTGCTATCTGCACTAGTCAATTTTTAACAAAAGATAAAAGGTGACAGGGGAGGGAACTCTAGCAGATTGACAGCCTCAGGTCTGTTCCTGTGTGCTGTGTGAAGGGAGGTATGTCCCTTCCCTCCAATCAGCTTTCAGAGCTCTCCTCACTGAGCTCTCCCCCTCCCTTTTTTCTGAACACTCAGGCAAGCTTTATAAATTCTGCACTTTTGGCTGTAGATAAGAGAAGACTACAGATAAACAGGTACAACCTATGTAGGGTGATTTGATTCTTTTCTGTGTATCAATAGAGGATAGTTACTTCACTGGGTATATGTAAGAGTTTACAACCACTTTAAAGCAAACTTTTTACTTTACCTTGAATGGTCAAACCTGATGCTTTGCCCTGAATTGACATAGTGAACCTATGCTTGGGTTCAATGAAAAGTGTTCTTTCTGTTCTCATAATTTCTCCTAAAGTGTATCTACACCCATGTACTTAAAAAATATTTTATCTAGTATGGATAATTTGACATGGGCAACATCCATTAAGATCAGCAGGGGACCCGTAAAGAGATCCCGTGCTGAATCGGAGCAGACTGGAATGGATGTTACTATGTTCAGTTTTTTCCTTCATCTAAGAACAGAGGAAAAAAGAGATAATGAACAAGTCTATGGGCAGGTGGAGGTAAATGGACATGTTTTCAGGGCCAGATTTACCATTAGGCAGTGTAGGCATGTGCATACAGGCACTTTTCCTAGAGGGGTGCCACTCTCTCTCTCTCTCTCTCCATCTCCCTCCCCCTCACCTAGCACAGCCAGGGATTGGTGTGCAAGTCAGCGGGACATGCAGCCACAAAGAGAAAGAGTGCAGCTGTCAACTCCAACCTGTAATGTCGAGGATGGGTGGGGCTGATATGTTTCAGGTGCTCCCCCCCTTTGTCAACCAACCAGTGCATAGACAGACAGCCGGAATTTACACATTACTGGCTGGGGAAGAAGGTGGCAAGGGGCAGGACTAATTGGAACTAATGCACGTGCATCTGCACATTATTTGTATATAGCAAAGTAGTTCCAATTGGTCCTGCCCTTGCCACCTTTTTACTGCCTGACACTGTATAAATTATGGCTGTTTCTCTATGAATGAGTTGTTTGACAAAGGGGCGGATCTTCTGAAATACGTATTGGCTCCACCCATTCCCGACATCACAGGTTGAAGTTGACAGCTGTATTCTCTCTCATTGCAGATGAACCCATGCCGGGTTGTCCTCCAAGCCCTGGCTATGCTGGATATTCACACTGTTCACACTGCTGCTTGTCCTGCTCGGCTGCACTCATTTGTTATCCATCTGTTGCCCACATTCTTGCCTCAGCTCCTGTATGCTGTTAATCAAGATTTTAAAACATAAGTGTGCTTTGTTTTATTACTTGATGTCTTTGCGGTTCAACTAACTCCCGAACCTTCCACTCTGTACGAAACGCACTGCTGAATCCTGTAATCTGTACATAACACATTCCTAAACCTTGAACTCTGTATGTAATGCATTTCTGAACGATGCACTCTGTACATAGCACATTCCTAAACCCTGAACTCTGTATGTAACGCATTCCTGAACCCTGCACTCTGTACGTAACGCATTCCTGTACCCTGCAATCTGTACGTAACATATTCCTGAACTCTGCACTCTGTACGTAGCGTATTCCTGAACCCTGCACTCTGTATGTAATGCATTCCTGAACCCTGCACTCTGTCAGTAGCTCACTCCTGAACCTTGCACTCTGTATGTAATGCATTCCTGAACCCTGCACTCTGTACATAACATATTCCTGAACCCTGCACACTGTATGTAATGCATTCCTGAACCCTGCACTCTGTCAGTAGGGCACTCCTGAATCCTGCATTATGCGCATAACACATTCCTGAACCCTGCACTCTGTACAAAGTGCACTCCTGAATCCAGCACTCTGCATGTAATGCATTCCTGAATCTTTCCACACTTTGTGTAATGCACTCTTCCACAGTATGTGCAAGACCATTTGTAATGGAAACTTTTTATTTTTTTTGTGTTTCGGTTTGTGTCCATGAGACTCTTGCTTGTGATACAGCATCCAAAACATATTTTATAAGTACAAGGAAGCCCTCATTCTGAAGTTAAGAAGTTGGAAGGTATGGTAAGGGGAACTCTGGGGACTCTTGTGTAAAGGGGGACTCTGGTGAACAGAGACCCCTTTACATCAGAATTCCCCCTTTACATCAAAGTCAGCAGCATTCCCCTTTACACATATAAAAATATTCATGTAAAAATATTTTATCAAGAAAAAAAAATAGGTCTTACTGTCTTTTTTTGGGGCGGGGAAAGGGCTCTTCAGAATTCTCTTCCTATAGGCTCCTGAGATGTAAATTCGGCCCGGCACGCTTCTGTTTACATTCTTTTATCTAGGATCTAAATGCCACATTTAGGTCTGAAAACATGGAAAATGTTTTAATTTTTCTGACCTCTATGGTCATTAGAGGTAATCAGATGTAAACTAACGCAGGCCTATTTACATCTGACTTCTGCTATACTAACATTGAGCTTCTGTTTAGATCTGCATGAAAAACTGACAGACGGATCTGATTGGAACAGCCATGTGGGCGGACACCAGGGGTTTTTTTCTTAGAGAATAGGTGCAGAAACTCTCCCTTTCTGAGTCACCCCTTGTCTTCGTCCCACATCGTCCCTTGGTTCCCCCCCTTATCAACCTCCTTTTAGAGAATACAGAACCAAGTATCAATTTGTATGGAATTTGTTAATGATAACAAGAAAAGCAGTAAAAAAAGATCCCCTGCAGCCAGCAACAATAGTTCTCCCCCCAGCAACAATGGACCACCTGCAACAAAATCCCCCCCCCCCGCAACAATAGACCCCTGGCAACAACAACAGATCTCCCCACAGCCAGCATTAATAGTGCCTGCAGCAAATAGCAATGAAAGACCCCTCCCTCAACAGTAGATCCCTCCTAGCAACAAATGACCACACAGGAACATATGACCACCCTCAGCAACAATAGACCCCCCACCATCAACAGTAGACCTCCCCAGCATCAATAGACACCGCCCCCCAAAATAGATCTCCTTCAGCGACAACATATCCCCCAGCAGCCAGCATCAATGGACCCTGAAGTACACACCACCATCCCTTGCCATTACATACATTTCATGCTAGAGGTTCTGGAACCGTGTTCCCCCACTTTCCCACTACAAAAAAGCTTCATAGTGTTGCTAGAATGCTAAATAATGTAAATTTAAAACTTCCTTTCCTCTCTTAGGCCTCCTTCACACAGGACATACATAACTGTCTGCCCGTGGAGGGCATGCACGGACACAGCTGCTGCTGCTCCCAATATGGCATGCATGCAGATTCAGAATCTTGGATGCATTTGGCTTGTGAACCTGCACCCACACATATATTATGTTGGAAGCAGCAGCTGTGTCTGTGCAGTTGCTGCTTCCCAGTTGACAGCAATGAGACTCCCTGTATGGGGATTAGACATGTAATTCGACTAGTTATGAATCGAAATTCAGACAAAATTTTCATTATTCAGAGATTTATTCAACAAATCCAAAACAAATTATAACGAAAACAACAAATTTGTTTGCAACTACTGCGGGTTTTCTAAGTTCACTAATATTGTCACTCTCTGTATTGTTATGATTGGCCAAAGCCAAAATCAAGCAAAACATCAGTCTCAAGAAAGTTGCATCAAAATCACAAGCAAGTCACAACAAAGTTAATGTATGAATCCGAAATTTTTTTTATCGTGCACATCTCTAATAGGGATGCACAGGACACTTGTGGATAAACAGTCCATGGGCATATAGTTCTGTATGCCCCCATTAGAATGGGGCCTAAAACAGAAGTGGAATCATGTCCCCAAGTATTTTCCAATCAAAGGATGACAACACTGACTTGCAGGGTTGGTCTAAAGGCAAAGAGATTTCATCTTCATCTGAATGTTACTGTCCAAACCATCATGCATGCTTGACATATACTGTGCTGACAGATACAGCCTGCAGTGCTTTCTTCTTCTATCAGCAATTCTTACAGTACTGCACAACAGTTCATGGAACTTGTACTCCCAAGGTTGCATAGCACATGACTTCTGAGGTGTGCACTGTCTGCACCTTGTTCAGGGTCACCACAGCTATCACAGTGCACATCACGTGCACAGGGCAAGTGACTTCAGAGGACAAATAATTGTACAGTTGTGCTCAAAAGTTTGCATACCCTGGCAGAAATTGTGAAATTGTGGCATTGATATTGAAAATATGACTGATCATGCCAAAAAATGCTCTTTTATTGAAGGATGATGATCATATGAAGCCATTTATTATCAAATAGTTGTTTGGCTCCTTTTAAAATCATAATCATAACAGAAATCACCCAGATGGCCATGATCAAAAGTTTACATACCCTGGAATGTTTGGCCTTGGTACAGACACACAAGGTTAAATGCCAATTAGAGGTTAATGTCCCACATCTGTGGTTTTTTAAATTGCAATTAGTGTCAGTGTATAAATAGTCAATGAGTTTGTTAGCTCTTACATGGAAGCACTGACTAGGCTAGATACTGAGCCATGGGGATCAGAAAAGAACTGTGAAAAGTCCTGCATAACAAGGTAATGGAACTTTAAAAAGATGGAAACGAGATAAAAAGATGTCCAATGCTTTGAATATGCCAATCAGTACTGTTAAATCACCTATTAAGAAGTGGAAAGTTCAGGGATCTCTTGATACCAAGCCAAGCACAGGTAGACCAAGAATGATTGCAGCCATAACTGCCAGAAGAATTGTCTGGGATTCAAAGAAAAACCCACAGGCAACCTCAAAAGAAATACAGGCTGCTCTGGAAAAAGATGGTGTGGTTGTTTTTAAGGAGTTCAATACGGTGATACTTGAACAAAAATGAGCTGTTTGGTCGAGGTGTCAGAAAGAAGCTTTTGCTGCACCAATGTATCACGTACCTGGTGATGGAGGCCAATGGAGAGAGGGCTTCCCTTGCGGCTATGTTCCGGACTCCCCTGAGAGTGGGACAGCGGGAGTCAGGCCCAAAGTTGCACAGGTCGCTTGTAGGAGTGCTGGTTGGTGGTCCACTCAGGAGCACAGCTGGTGCACGGGGATAGGTCTGCAGACTGGAGGTGCCTGTGCGTGGTATGCAAGCCTTCTGGGATTTGGATGTTTGCTGGTTAGTCAGTTCGAGCCAAGCTCAGTTACCGGGTGGGGAACAGAACAGACGTGGTCAGGTGGGATAGCCGAGGTCATACACGGAGGAGCGAGAGAGAGAGTATCCTTTAGCTAAGCCGAGGTCAGATCAGGGGTTCAGTAGAGCAGACAGGTCCAAGTACAAGCTGGGTCGGAATCAGGAAGTCACAGAAAACAGGAACAAACTATGGGGAGCTAGAGATCATCCAGCAACCAGAGGAAGTGATGAGTCTCCTTATAAAGGCCATCTGGCACCAGACTGAGGCTGATGTGTCCTTCTGCGGCCATGTAGAGTATTGGCAGAAACGCCAGAACTCCTGCTGTGGACAAGACTCTGACACAATGCCACAAAAATGCCCAGTTACAGTTTTCCTGACAACACCTTGACATGCCTAACCAGGCCTTTTTGTGTCATTGATGCAGTAAAGGCTTCTTTCTGGCACCTCGACCATGCAGCTCATTTTTGTTCAAGTGTTATCATATTGTGCTCCTTCAAAACAACCACGCTGTCTTTTTCCAGAGCAGCCTGTATTTTTCTTGTGGTTACCTATGGGTTTCCCTTTGTATCCCGAACACTTCTGGCAGTTATGGCTGCAATCTTTCTTGGTCTACCTGTGCTTGGCTTAATATCAAGAGATAGGAAGATTTAACAGTACTGATTGGCAAATTCAAGGCTTTAGACATCTTTTTATGTCCTTTTCCATCTTTATAAAGTTCCATTACCTTGTTACGCAGGACTTTTCACAGTTCTTTTCTGATCCCCATGGCTCAGTTTCTAGCCTAGTCAGTGCTTCCACATAATAGCTAACAAACTCATTGACTATTTATACACTGACACTAATTGCAATTTAAAAAGCCACAGATGTGGGACATTAACCTCTAATTGGCATTTTAACCCGTGTGTCACCTTGTGTGTCTGTACCAAGACCAAACATTCCAGGGAATGTAAACTTTTGATCATGGCCATTTGGTTGATTTCTGTTATTATTATGATTTAAAAAGGAGCAAACCAACTATTTGATAATAAATGGCTTCATATGATCATCATCCTTCAATAAAAGAGCATTTTTTGGCATGATCAGTCATATTTTCAATATCAGTGGCAAAATTTCACAATTTCTGCCAGGGTATGCAAACTGAGCACAACTGTACATGTCTGTGAAGGATCTCATTTATTCAAGTAATGGTATAGTTAGTAATAATTAATTAAATTTAAAGTAGAACTAAAGGCAAAACTTTTTTTTCATTTTGAATAGAGTAAAGGAGGTTTATAACCCCGTTAGGTTTTTTTTTGCCATCTACATCCCTTTGGGGAGGTTTCCCTTAATTTCCTGTCCCATAGCCAAAACAGTAAGTGAGGGAAAATCCCTTTATAGAGAGGAATTCCTGGTTGTCACCAGTGTTCCCACTAGAAGATTAGTGTTCTGGGGACAACCAAAATTTCAGGATTTTTCTATACTTTCACTTTCAATGATAATGGTAATGAAGACAAATAGAGAGTGTGACACCCCCTAATGCGGACACAGACAGCAAGAGAAACCTGACAGGTGTTCTAATCCCTCTTCACTCTATCCAAAACTAAAAAAAAGTGTAGTGCCTTCCTAGTTAAGCTGCTAGGTAAATGTAGTCTTTTGCCCTTTCAGTAATTAGGAGAGCAGTGATTGTTTAGTTTGGTCTGTTCAGGATTTCACAGGCTGGGAGTTTGATTGCTTCCCATTGCCTCTAGAAGAAGGTTCTAGAGCTTAGGGAGGGGGAATTCCAATGACAAGCCTGAATAGTGAGCATGGCCTAGTTGTTCTTTGGGTAGGTGTGCCCAGGTGATGGCTGGGTTTCTGTTAAATAGCCTGGAGCCCTGAGGAGATTGCTTTCTCTCCCTGAGGGGATGGATCTGTAAGCTGAGAGGAGGGGGGCTGAATGCCCCTGGAGCCCTTTGGACTGCATGCTGGACTACTATGCAAGAGGCTGCACCTAAGGACTGATTGTGTACCAGGATCCTGTGAGTAGAGCCTCTTTACCTGTGTAGTGCCCTCTACATAGTGTACATAGTTTGTTAGTGTAGTTAGATGCTTGCTGGAAGCCTGAGTGTGAGTGAGAAGTTTACTTCAGGTTAGGCTGGAGGGCTCTACAGGTCAGTCCTCTGTTACCTCCCCATGCTCTAGGAGATTAGAGAAGTTTCTAGAAGCCAGTGAGTGAAGGCCAGGAGGAGCTGACCTGCATATTTATGGAAGTCTGACCAATCCTAGGCAGGAGGTCTGACGTGTGGCAGACTGGCCCATAACTATGCCTCACCAGCAAGGGGAATGGGGTGGAAGATGGAGTACTGAGGGGGGTTGCTATTAGACTGGAAGGGGACCCCGGAGGAGGGGGGCTCTGCCTCTAGGTTGGAGGTTGGAAGGAAGCTGAGAGAGAGAGCTCCACTGCCTTACAGTCCACCAAGGAAGGACAGCCTATTAGCTTGGAAGAGAACCACCTCAGAAAAAGCCTGTAAGCAGTTCATCCAAAATTGCAGGACACAGGGACAGTGTGAATACCTCTACACCCCTGAAGCCTACAGGAGAGGGGGCTGCTTGGTGTTATATTTAACCAGTTCTCCCTGGGACAGTGCTGCAAGCTTCTTTTGGAATCTCTTGCTTCAGGATACTCTTCAAGGACAGCCAGGTAGATGGGTAGTTCTAGCTGGGGTCTGAAGAGGTTCATTTAGAGGGGACCAAGTGCTTCTCACAGAGACTGTGTTACTGATCCATGAAGCGACTGTTGCCACTCCGGAGGAAGTAGAAAGTCCAGGATCCTACATTTTTTGTGAAGTTTATTCTCAGAATTTTTGTTCCAGTCAAGTTGGGCATCCTATATACCTTTAGACCCTATCCAAGTTGTTTATCCCCAAATATAACAACATAAACAAGTCCATGGACTGGTTACTGACTTTTGCATAGGATTTGGAAAATGTGTGTTGCCTGCCCGTGCAAGACATAAGGGGGACCCAAATCCCGCGGCTCTCAATGGGATAGTGCTACACCTGTGCTATAGTTTTTTATGGGCCCTAGCTGCAAACTGTGGACAGTTCCATTCTACCTTTACCTGTCTCAAATCTTCTCCATGGTCCCCAGCCATGAACCAATAGACAGATCCAGTCTATCTTTACCTGTGCTAAACCTGCTTCATGGTCCCCAGCAGTGAACCAATAGATGGTTCAGTCTACCTGTACTTGTGCTGCAGTCATCATTATCTGTGCTGCAGCCATTATCACTACTTGTGTTGCAATCTATCTCATGGTCCTCACTTTGAGATTACAGAGTGCTTAAGTCTAACAATTGTCTCACAGTGTCCAGCTGTGAGAGACAGACTGTGCTATTTCTGCTAAACAGGCCAGTGTCCTCTATCTACTGTGCTTGCTTGGATTAATCCATATCACCCCAAACCCTACGTTGCTACAGGTTTTACTAGCAAATAAACTTCAAAAAGACATTCCATAGACCATACAATTATTCAGAGTGAATACAATGTTGCTGTGTGCCTGGCTGCCTCTGCACTGGCTCCTTTGGGGGTAGCGCTACAAATGTTTTGCCTTTAGTTATACATTAACTGGATTTGCTTTGTAATGTTGACCATTGGATTACAAAACAAGCCCAGTTCAATATTACAAGTCAAGTTCAACAGGACCAACTAGACTAACTACTACCAGCTAAGTTGTACATGCAGTAAATAATACTAATAACACCAATTAACAACTTGAGTCCCCAGGCCTTTCCTCCCAAATCCCCTTAAGTCCCAGGGCTTTTTTAATCCTTTTACAAGGTATCTTTCAGCTCATTAAATCTTTCAGGCTTTAAAGTCCACCCTTTAGGACAGATAGGGATTTTTGTTCCATAATCCATTTTTGTTGGATAAAATAAGTATTTGATATTTCAAATGTTACAGCAATAAAAAGAAAAATACAGAGCCGTCTTCATACTAAAGTCAAAATATGAGATTGTATAGCAATAAAATAAACAGGCAACAATGTATGCCTGACATAATGTAGAGGACAACCCCAAAAACAAACAAAAAAACAAAAACAAAGGGAGGGAGGGGGAACAGGAATGGAGGAAGGAACAAGAGAGATAAGGCTTTAATTTGGTAGCAACTTTGGATAGATGTATTTTTATGTATTGTTTTTTTTTTAATTAAGAATAAATGGTAAAAAGAAATTAGAGAAAAAATGCATTTTCCTGTATTTTTTTCCTTTTGCAACATTTATGTAGTTTGTGCACCAAAATGTAATCAACATAGTCTGCTGATTAAAATAGCATTACATTAGTGTAACTGTTATGTAACGTATCAAAGTGGTAAAGCTCAAAGTGAACATATTTGTTTTGCTTTAAAAGAGCTTTATTCAAGAGCTGACATAAGCATACTGTTAACTGAAAGGCAGGTCATTCATTCCTCATTTTTTTTTTTTTTTATTTAACCAGTGGACATTCAATGTGGATGGGAGAATCCTCCTGCTGTGATATTGTGTTCTGAAGGTGGCGAAGGCTATAGCCTGCAGCACTGATCGATCAGGAAAAAGCCAACAGTCTATTGATAGATCAACTTCTGTACAACCAGGGTTCCCATATTCGGAATAAAATTCATCTGGTCTCTACTGAACCAGCTGAATTTTGATCTAAGTATGGGAGGATTCAGTTACCGATCAAAGCATGCCTTGAATGTAACTGTTTTGGGTTTAATCAGTGGGTTTGTTTCCGCTTTAATATGCTTTTGGAGTAACTCACTAGAAATAACATTTGTTTACCGATTAAGTGAGGACACCCATGATGTAACACAGTCACCTTTTAACATCTAGCTCTGTGGCAGAATTGTACTGCGTGACCACAGTCAGCGGTCACTAAATGGCGTACTGCTGTCCGAAAACGGCCCCAGCAGCACTCCCTTCTGGACCGCCAGCCCGCAATGACAGACAGTGAGCAGGGCGGTCGTCACGGCAACATGACATCACAGTGTGCACCCCAGCCCTTGCAGCAGGGGCATAGATAAGGTTGAAGTCAGGGGGGTCTGAACCCCTCCCAGAAGAGAGTTGCCAACCATCCCTGCAGCCCTCAAAATTTCCACTCGCTTGCGAGTGGAAATAAGGTGGGGGCATCGAGCAGTGCTGGGACTAGGGGTGTGTGGGAGAGGTGGCGGTGAAGGCAGTGACAAGCAGTGATCTCCTGTATGGCTTTCAATAAAGCAGCTAGAAGCCGCGGGAGGGAGAGGAGAAGTGGCTTCCAGCTGCTTTATTGAAAGCCATACAGGAAGTTGCTGCTTGTCACTGCCCCCACTGCTGCAAAGAATATACCTGACGGCTCCGTTTTCTTTCCACCCTCCCACTTCCTCTTCTTCCCACCGCTGCTGTGTTCTTCTCAATTTCCAGCCCCTCCCTCCA